TTTCTAATGTATTTATAAGGTACCATGTGATTTTTTTTGTTGTTGTTGCTTTGTATGACCCTCCTCCATGGTATAACCCCTGTTTTCACTGTGTTTGATGGTATAATTTGGGGAGGGAAGGGAAAAACAAAATGTTTATATAGGGATACAGATTGGCCCATTGCAACTGTGAGGTGTACAAGACACTATGTCAAAAAACGAACTTTACAATTTAGGTGGGGAGTGGGGGTGGGGGTGTGTAGTTGAGGAGATGGGAGGGAAGGGATGGTAAGGAAAAGCAAAGGAGGAGGCAACAATGCTGATAAGAAATGTACTCATTACCTTGTTTATGTAACTGTAACCACCCTCTGTATAGTATTTTCACAACAAAAAAATTATTTTAAAAAAAAAGAATTACACTTATTACCGATTTCTGTAAGTTGAACTTGCATCCCTAAAATAAAGCTAGCTTGATCATGTATGATCTTTATAATGTGTTGTTGAATTCTGTTTGCAAGGATTTTATTGAGAATTTTTGCATTTATTTTCATTAAGGGGATTGATTAGTCTGTTTAGTTCTCTTGTGTCCTTATCTGGTTTTGGAATGCATATTTTCATTGAAGGGGTTGGGTAGTGGTATTTCCTTTTCTATTTCATGGAAAAAGTGGAGTATTAATGGTGTTCTTTAAAAGTCTGGTGAGGGCTGGGAAGTGGCTCAGTGGTAGAGCGCTTGCCTTGCATGCATGAGGCTCTGGGTTCGATTCCTCAGCACCACATAAGCAAAAAGAAGAAAGCTGGAAGTGGTGCTGTGGCTCAAGTGGTAGAGTGCTAGCCTTGAGCTGAAGAGCTGAGGGACAGAGCCCAGGCCCAGAGTTCAGGCCCCACAAGCAGACTCAAAAAAATAAAAAAAGTCTGGTGAATCTGGGTTCCTGCTTTTCTTTTCTGGGAGCCTATTATTGGTTTATTTTCATTGTTTATGATAGATCTGTTTAAGCAACTTACCTTTCTTGGTTCAGTTTTGGTAGATCTAAAAAGATTTCTAGATCTTTTTGTTTTGGATATAGGTTTTCAGAGTATTCCTTTATGATCTCTGGGTTTCATTTGTATTTGCTATGATAACATCTTTTTCATCTTTATTAATTTGGATTGTTTCCTCTTTTTTGTCAGATTGGTTAGGGTTTGCCAGTTTTCATTATTTTTTCCCTTGTGGCAATTTGAGATTTGTCTTATTATTATTTTCCTCAGAGCTTGGAGTATATCATTGTTTATTTGAATTCTCTCTCGTGCATGTTCTCTCTGTCTCTGTCTCTTTCTATCTCTATAGCTTTATAGTAAAGCTATAAACCTTCTACTCCCTTTGCTGTATTCCAAAAGTTCTGGTAAATCTTTTTGAGGGGAAAAATGGCCGGATTTCCTATCTATTGGAAAGAATGGAATATTAAAATTCCCCACAATCACTGTGTTTTAAATTAATTTAATTTTAATTTTGTTTAATAAAGTTGTGCCAACATTTGACACATACATGTTAACAGTTACACTTTTAGTTTTTTGTTTTTTTTTTTTTTTTGGGTCCGGTTGTGGGGCCTGAACTCTGGGCCTGGGCGCTGTCCCTCAGCTCTTCAGCTCAAGGCTAGCGCTCTACCACTTGAGCCACAGCGCCACTTCCGGCTTTTTTTCTTTTTGCTTATATGGTGCTGAGGAATCGAACCCAAGGCCTCATGCATGCAAGGCAAGCACTCTACCACTGAGCCACCTTCCCAGCCCTACTTTTAGTTTTTTAGTTATACTTTTAGCCTTATTAATATGAAGTCACCTTTTGTCTCTTCTGACTAATTTTAGTTTGAAGTATACTTCACCAGATATGTATAGAGCTACTTGTGTCTGCCTTCAGGGTCCATTTGCTTGGTAGGTCTTTTTTCACCCTTTTACCCTAACCCATTTTTTTTGTTATTGTTAGTAAGACGTATTTTTTTTAGGCAACAAATGGTTGGGTCTTTTTTTAATCTAATTTGACTTTCTGTCTTTTGATTGAAGAATTCAGATACTATCATCTAATGTTAGTGTTGAAAGATATATAGTAATTCTAATTTCTTGTTTTTGTAGAATTCGATTCTTCATTTGCTCTTTACTCATCTGGTGAGATTTACTTTCTCCCCTCTTTCATAATTATGTTTATCTTATTCTTCTATATAGGTTAGTGTTCAAAGTCTTCTGTAGTGCTGGTTTAGCAGTCATAAATTTTTTGTTGTTGTTGTTCATTATGGGAGGTTTTATCATGCAGTTTAGAGCAATAGCTTTGTTGGGTAATCTCTGTTGGCAGTTATTTACTTTCAGCACTTGAAATACTTCATTGTATACACTCCTTGCTTGTAAGGTTCGTGTTGAGAAATCTGCTGTTATTCAAATAAGGCTGCCGTTATTGGTGACTTGGCATTTCTCTTGTGCTGCTTTCCATATCCTCCTCCTGCACACTTAATATTTTAACTATGATGTATCTTGGGGTAATTCTTTCTGATCTAGTTTGTTAGGTGTTTTGTCTCTTGAATCTGAATTGCTTGCTTTTCTTACGTTTTGTTTCTTGCTTTTCTCAGTATTTTTTTTTTTTTTTTTTTGTCAGTTGTAGGGCCTGAACTCTGAGCCTGGGCACTGCCCCTCAGCTCTTCAGCTCAAGGCTAGCACTCTACCACTTGAGCCTCAGCCCCACTTCCGGCTTTTTCTGCTTATATGGTGCTGAGGAATCGAACCAAGGGCCTCATGCATTCAAGGCAAGCACTCTACCACTGAGCCACTTTCCCAGCCCCTTCTCAGTATTTTTGATACCATGATTCTTTTGAGTTTTATCTCATCATAATGTCCCAGAGGTTTGCATGTTTCATTTATATTTCTTCATTTGACTGATCTGCCTTGTCCTTGAGTCCTGATATTCAGCATAAACGACAGCATAAGCAACAATAAAAACTCAACCAACCTACCAAACAAAGCCTAATACAGCTATTTGGGAGCCAATTCTAGATCAGCCCAGGAAAAAAGTTCAAGAGACCTCCATCTCAACCAGCAAAACAAAAACTGAGTGTGAGCCAAGCCCTGGTGGCACATGCCTGTAATCCTACTGTAAAGCTACTGTAAAGCTACTCCGGAGGCTGAGATCTGAGGATTGCAGTTCAAAGCCAGCCAGGCATTAGACTTTATCTCCAGTAAACTACTCAAAAAAACCATAAATGGCAATATGGCTCAAGTGGTAGAGCGCTATCCTTGAGCCAAAAAGAAGCTCATGGGCAGCACCTTAGACTCATTGCTCAAGCCCCAGCACTAGCATAACAAAAACAAACAAACAAAAAAAACCCGCTGAGTGTGGACAACTCTATAGTAAGTATAAATTGAATCATAGACCAAGTCTGCTGAGAATAAATTTGAGACCCTATCTCAAAAAATACAGCAAAAGGGGCTGGATGATTGGAAATATGGCTTAGTGGTAAAGTGCTTGCCTATTATGCATGAAGCACTGGGTTCGATTCCTCAGTACCACATAAACAGAAAAAGCTGGAAATGGCACTGTGGCTTAAATGGTAAAGTGTTAGCCTTGAACAAAAGAAGCTCAGGGGCTGGAAAGGTGGCTCAGTGGTAGAGCGCTGCCTTGCATGCATGAGGCCCTGGGTTTGATTCCCCAGCACCACATAAGCAAAAAGAAAAAAAGCCAGAAGTGGTGCTGTTGCTCAAGTGGTAGAGCACTAGCCTTGAGCTGAAGAGCTGAGGGACAGTACCCATGCCCAGAGTTCAGGCCCACGACCAGACCCAAAAAAAAAAAGAAGCAAGAAAAAAAAAAAAAGAAGCTCAGGGACAGTGTCCCTGAGTTCAAGCCCCAGGAATGGCAAAAAAAGGACTGGATCAAGTGGTAGAGTCCCTGTGTAGCAAGCAAGCCTAAGGCACTGAGTTGAAACCCCAGGACATCAAGCAAAATAAAACTAATGAACAAACAACAAAAAATAGTCAATGAACCTAACACAGTTTATATTCCTGTTGTCCCTTTTTTTGCTTTGTGGGTATGTTTGAGAGTGAGCCAAAGTAATATATTCTATTTTATTTTGCTCTGACTTCATAGACTTTGCACAGACTTCCCAGACTGGGATGAAAAACGTATATTTCTTGCCCTTTCCTATAATTACTTTGTTAATGGGTTAAAGCATATATATATATATATATATATTTTTTTTTTTTTTTTGGTCGTGGGCTTGAACTCTGGGCTTGGGTAAAGCATATTTTTTTGTTACGTTAATCTTTTTAAAATAGTTTACATTGGGGGCTGGGAAGTTGGCTCAGTGATAGAGTGCTTGCCTCTCATGCATGAGGCCTGGGGTTCAATTCCTCAGCACCACATAAGCAGAAAAAAAAAAAAAAAAGGCAGAAATGATGCTGTGGCTCCAAGTGGTAGGGCGCTAGCCTTGAGCTGAAGAGCTGAGGGACAGCACCCAGGTCCAGAGTTCAGCCCTCACAACTGACACAAAGAAAAAAAGAAGGAAAGAAAAAATAGTTTACAGAGACGTCTGCGTCAGAGGAGAGGGAGAAATATTGTTTGGTAGATGAAAGAAAAATGTCTTTTATGATGTAATGATATTCAGATGGAAATGAAAATGGTTGACATCTTCATTTTGTACAAGTTATAATGAATAAAGAAACACACTAGATTTAGCTAAGGAAGTTTTGACTCTATGTTGACCTCATTTAAGCAGCTGTATTTTAGGGATGTGTTTCAGTTAATATGGGAAAGAAGTGAGAAAACCAGTAATTAGGTTTCTGTTTTCATCTAATGTGAATGATTTTTAATAGAGTAATTTTTGTTAAATTATTGGTATAACTTCTAAAATTTAAGTCCTATTTTTCTCAGATTTCATGAATTAAGCCATTAAGTACATTTCATATTTTTTACATCAAGTATTTGAGTAGCTGTGAAAAACATGATTTGAACTGAACTTGATCTCCATTTTAATACTTTTTCATGTTTAGTACTTTCCTTTCCTTTACAGAAATACCGTTATCAGGATGAAGACACACTTCCTCAAGAACACATTTCCCCACAAATCACTAATGAGGTGATAGGTCCTGAATTGGTTCACGTCTCAGAGAAGAACCTGTCAGAGATTGAGAATGTCCATGGATTTGTTTCTCATTCTCATATTTCACCAATAAAGGTAGGATAACAGCTGTTCTATGCTTTTCCTGTGAATTATGGTTTGCTTAGAACTATTCTGTCATGTATATTTTTTTCCCTTTGGTTGATTTCAGTTTCCTAGTTAAGGGAATTTCATATATTTGTTAGTATTTCACAAACTATTTCAAAACTGGGCGCCAGCGGCTCATACCTATAATCCTAGCTATTGAGGAGGCTGAGTGAGAGTGGAGGGTTATGATTCAAAGCCAGCCCATTCAGCAACATCTGTGAGACTCTTATCTCCAACTAACTACCTAAAAAACAGAAGTAGAGATGGGGCTTAGAGTGATAGAGTGCTAGCCTTGAGGCAAAAAAGCTCAGGAACAGTGCCTAGGCCCTGAGTTCAAGTCCCATGATTGACAAAAAAATAAAAATAAACTTTCAAAAGATACTTTATAAGTGAATTTTATTCTTAGACACTATATTTCAAGGTTCTCATGAAGGAAGTAACTTCTTTGATTTCAAATACTACACATGAGCTATTTTTAAACATTTGTTTTAAATGTTATCAAATATATACAAAAAATATTAACATCTTTTTGAAGTCCAACAGCAACTTTTCTTAATCCTGTCATTTCTCCCTTCAGAAGTAACTACAATCCTGACCTTCATATTTATTTTTTATACAGTTCTCCTACATATTCAGATTGCTTGTCTATGTATTATTCATTTTACATGTTTTGAAATCTATATAATGTATTCATTCTTCATATAATCAAATTGAATTTTTGCTTAATGTATTCCTGAGATTCCCCATTTAACTTCACTTTTTTGGAGGTTGTTTTTTTTTGGGGGGGTGGGGGGGGTCCGGTCGTGGGGCCTGAACTCTGGGCGCTGTCCCTCAGCAATTCAGCTCAAGGCTAGCGCCCTGCCACTTGAGCCACAACGCCACTTCCGGGTTTTTCTTTTTTGCTTATGTGGTGCTGAGGAATCAAACCCAGAGCCGCATGCATGCAAGGCAAGCGCTCTACCGCTGAGCCACCTTCCCAGCCCCTTTTTTGGAGTTTTTATTTTATAAATATATAGTAAAAGTTTTTATTTGCTTAATAGGAATTATTTTTAGGTTATTACTAGCTAAAACATAAATATGTATGCACAAACACTCATACCTAATTGTTATTTTTATGTTTTCCATATTTGTATTAGTACATAAACATGTACATATTTGTACCCCTACAGAGAGGTAAGAATGGTGGCACATATTTATGTTTTGGTTTTTGAAATGGTGACATTTGTTATTTTAATGAACATTTCTCTGATTACTGAGATGGGATATATTTATTGATCATTCAGATTTCCTGTTTTGTGGCATGCCAACTTAGGATTTTTGCTTAGTTTTGAATTGGGTTGCTCTTTTTCACTGAATTGTAAGAGTTCTTTTCTGAATGTTTTTTTCTGGTTGCATGAATTGGCATAAGGATTGTTTATTACTAGTAAGACTTACCTGGATTCTATAATTCTCTAAGAGGGATGATTTGTTAAAACTTGTAGGGACTATAGTACCAATCATATTTTCTATTAGTTTTTCTAGACTACTTTTTTCTAGAAGCATATACATTCTAATTAGTATTCATAATATGGTTACTATCTTTTAATGTTATAATAATATTATATGTATATAATATATAATACATATGATATGTTAATATAACATAAATATATAATACTATATATAGATATAATATTATATATTATATATTATACATAATATACCATATAGGTATATATTTTATTATATAGGTATAGCCCCATTCCCATAATGTTATTTATTTGTATTTTTGTTAGTTTTTGTCGATTGTGGGGCCTGAACTTTGGACCTGGGCGCTGTCCCTCAGCTCTTCAGCTCAAGGCTAGCACTCTACCACTTGAGCCACTGCACCACTTCAGGCTTTTTCTGCTTATGTGGTGCTGAGGAATCGAGCCTAGGGCCTCATGCATGCAAGGAAAGCACTCTACCTTCCTGGCCCCTGTACTTTTCTTTTACCTTCATTCCTGACAGAAAGGTAGTCTGTTTCAAAGATGATTTTTTCAAAGAACCGTCTTTTAAAAGTTTGTTTTGTCTTCACCTTGTATACCACCATCCTTATCCCTCTGTAGGGTATACGTGTACATGTGTACACATTCATATAAACTCATGTAACTATGATAGCCTGCATATCAGTTGAAGATTGTGTGCTATAAACAATCTGAACTTTCTTTGAGAAACTAATGACATACCCAGAGGAAAAAATGTCACTTGTCTAAAAATGGCAAAGACAGTTCACTTTTCATCCTTTTCCCTTTTCATTCTTAGATTATTTTTTTTCTTTTTCTGGGGTATTTTTGTTTGTTTTTCTAGTTTCTCAAGTCAGTTGCTTATTACCAGCCTCCTTTTCTTACAGTCCTTGAGATTGAAAACTGTCATTAAGTAGTACTTTAGCCATTCCACAGTTTTTTGTTTGTGTATGTGTGTGCATGCATGCATGCATGTGCAACTGGGACTTGAACTTGGGGCCTAAGCACTTCCCTGAGCTTTGTTAAAGGCTAATGTACTACCACTTGAGCCACAGCTCCACTTCTGGATTTTTTGATGGTTTATTGAAGATGGAGTCTCATGGACTTTACTGCCCTGGCTAGCTTCAAACCACAATCCTGGAATATTCATCCTCCTGAGTAGCTAAAACTAGAGATGTGAGCTAGTGGAGCCCAAATGTATTTATTTTTATTTGTTTGTTTGTTTGTTTGTTTTGTCTGTAGTGGGGCTTGAACTCTGGGCCTGGGCTCTGTCCCTCAGCTCTTTATTTATTTTTTTTGGTCGGTCGTGGGGCTTGAACTCTAGGCCTGGGCACTGTCCCTAAGCTTTTCAGCTCAAGGCTAGAGCTCTACCACTTGAGCCACAGTGCCACTTCTGGCCTTTTTTTCTGTTTATATGGTCCTGAGGAATTGAACCCAGGGCCTCATGCATGAGAGGCAAGCACTCTACCACTGAGTCACCTTCCCAGCCCCTGTCCCTCAGCGCTTTAGCTCATAGATCAAGGCAAGCACTCTAACCAATTGAGCCACAGCACCATTTCTGGTTTTCTGGTGGTTTATTTGAAATCAGAGTATCACGGACTTTCCTTCCAGGCTGGCTTTGAACCGTGATCCTCAGATCACAGCCTCCTGAGTAGCTAGGATTACATGCATGAGCCACCAGCTCCTGAGGCTTACTTTTTTAATTTTTAAGTACAGGCAATCTTGATCCTTTTGTATGTTCTATTGCATATTTGTTCATGTCATCTTTCCTTCTTAATAGCTTGGAAACTATTCTTCTATTTAGTAGTTTTCTAGAAATTTTAATGTACAAATTTAACCTATAAAAGTATAAATGTAATACAATATATTTTACCTTCATTCTGAACAACCTGAAAGCCTTGAACCTTGGAGTCTTAGCATATTGCCTGCTTTATATACACTTCTTGTCAGCATATGCCTGTTTTCCCTTGAATGAAATTGATTTTCTTACTTGAGTCCAAAAAATCTTTCAGAGTCTGTGAGTTCTTTATTTATCCCAGTCATTTTGAATACCTACAAATTGTCCAAAGCCAATTGCACATCACCAAATCTTGGTGTTTAAGTGCTTTGGTAGTTACTTGGATTGTATCATAAGCAGGCAGTGATGCTCTGTTGTTACGTATATAAAGTGGTCATTATGGCAGGTAAAGCAATATTTCAGATATAAGATATTGTCACTGAATCTGTAGATGTTTTAGGTCTTAAACCTCAGTTGCCATCCATAAGGACGTGTCTCTTCAGTTTTTCTTTGCCTTAAGTGTAACTAGAATCTGTTAATTTCATCAGTGAAATACCACTTTTATGTAGTAAGCCACTGATTTGTCATTGAAAACTCACTTCATTTTGATAATCAAGATAATTTTTTGGGTTGGTCGAAGGTTTTTATAGCAAATCTTACTATAAAACTTATCCCCAAATATGACTTTCCCGATTAAATGGTAGCTAGGATACTAATTCCTTGTTAAGCAAATTGACTGCCTTTAGTAATAGTTCTCAATGATGAATAGACATGCAGTCACGAAACTTTAAAAAGTATTGATAAGGTGACATTGTCCAAAATGGAGTATACACTCTACCGATTTATGTAACTGTAACCCTCTGTACATCACCTTTATAATAACAATTTTAAATTTTTTTTAAGTATTAATGAGGCCATGTGTGCGTGGCTCACTCCTATAATTCTAGCTGCTCCGAAGGCTGAGATTTGAGGATAGCAGTTCAAAGCCAGCTCTGGTAGAAAAGTCTTTGAGTTTGAGACTCTTGTCTCCAATTAACGCCCCCACCAACCCCCCCCCCAAAAAAAAACAAAAACCTGGAAGCAAAACTGGCTCAAGTGGTAGAATGCTAGTTTTGAGCCAGACAGTGCTCAGGCCCTGAGTTCAAGCTCCAGGACCAGCAACAAAAAAGTTACTGATGGGGCTGGGAAGGTGGCTCAGTGGTAGAGCACTTGCCTTGCATGCATGAGGCTCTGGGTTCGATTCCTCAGCACCACATAAGCAAAAAGAAAAAAAGCCGGAAGTGGCACTGTGGCTCAAGTGGTAGAGCGCTACCCTTGAGCTGAAGAGCTGAGGGACAGCGCCCAGGCCCAGAGTTCAGGCCCCATGACTGGACCCCCCCAAAAAAAGTTACTGATGCAGTTGATTGATCTCTGAGCTACAGATTGGATTTTGGCAGGGGGTTAGAGGAGTTTGGGGGGGGCGGGGCTTACAAACTCAATAGATGTTTCTAATCTATACCCACAATCAGAAATACGGTACTTAACCACCATTGCTGCTGCTGCAACTGAGGATTTTAAAATCCATTTTGGATATTATTGCTCTATTTGGGAGTGGAATATGTCATTGCCTTCATTGAGTGGCAGTCTTTGGGTAGCTGTATGTAAACCTTTGTTGACATACTTTAGTAAGATCAAGAAAGTACCAACATGAATCTATCTTAGTGCTATAA